CCAACTCATGGTGACCCTATATGTGTCAGAGTAGAACTGTGCTCCACAAGGTTACAATGACTGATTTTTTTCAGAAGTAGATCACCAGGTCTTTCTTCTGAGGTACCTCTGGGTGGATTCAAACTTCTAATATTTCAATTAGCAGCTGAACACTATAACCATTTCCACCATCAAAACCCAAACCAAGTTGATTCCATCAGGTTGTTGTTATTAAGTGCCATCAAGTTGGTTCCAATTCATAGCAACCCTGTGTAGGGTTTCCAAGGAGTGGCTGGTGGATTTGAACTGACAACTTTGTGGGTAGCATTCCAGTGATTATCCTACAGCTCCACACTAGGACTCGTTCTTCTCTGGTCTTCCTTATTCAGTATCCAGCTTTCACATGCAAATGGGGCAACTGAAAATGCTAGGACACAATCACAGCACCTTGTTAACTCATATCTAGCATCTTGTGAAACTTTGTTTGGAATTACAGTAGGTGAAAGGTCATAAGACATAATAGTTCTTCAGATCAGAAAAATATAAAGAGGGAAGAGTGGGTGGAATGTTTCTCAACTTATTTTTTTGATAAAAAAATCCTGAGACTTATTATTTATCAGCTTATTTTATTTTATACAAGGCATACTTCGATTTATTACACAAATCAATAACCTTTGGAAATTTCAGAAAATACCTTTTTTCTTGTCTCTTTGAAAAGGACCAAGAGAGTAAACTAGAAGTTCACAACTCATGTCAGGACAAATACACACACACAAAATAAAAACAACCAAAAACCTATTTTTAAAGTAAAAATCTCAGAAAGCAAATTAGCATGGTCGGTAAGGAAGCAACATATCGCAAAGTCAATGTGGGTAGCCAGCTATTGATGTTTACAAAACCTATTGATTTGTGGAAGCTATCTACTGCTACGAAACAAACTACTCCAATGCTTAGTGGCTGAAAACAGCACATGTTTTTTATTACCTCATTTCTGATTTCTGTGGATCAGGAATCAAGGAAAGGCTTAGCTGGGTTCCTCTGGCTCAGGGTCCATACTGGGGGTGGCTTCAAGCTATCAACTGGAACTGCAGTCTTCCCACAGGTCCTTTGGGGGTGGATCTACTTTCAGATTCCTATAGGGAGTTGTTGGCAGTCCTCAGAAGATCCATTTCCAAATTCAATCGGGTGAACCTGTCCACCGAGCTCCCTAGAAGCTGGCTTCCACAATGTGAGTAAGCCAAAGAGAGCAGAGAGGAAGCATAGTGGGAGATCTCACTGCATTACCTTCTGTATTCTGTTCACTAGAAAAGAGTCAAAAAGTCCAGCCCATTGAGGGGAGGGGATTACACAGGACATGGATACCAAGAAACAGATACGTTTAGGAGCCATCTTAGAAGCTGCCTGCTTCCATTTATATATTTGGAAAAATAGGAACTATGTTCTCATGGTTAAAATTATAAATGTACAAGACATTATATAATACGGTGTTTCCCTCACATCCCTGTCACCCAATCCCTTCCTTTTACAAATTGTATTACTAGATTCTTTTGTATCCTTTCAGAGACTTTCCGTTCAATGCTAACTTGGAAGAATTGAAGGAAGTCCATAAGGTGCCTGCAGAAAGTCACTTTAATCTTTCCGGCTCTGCCTTACCAGTTCAGACCTGCTTTGTGGAGATAACTATTCCACACCCCGTGGATGAAATCTGAGGTAGGTACTATGACTTTTCATTTCTCTCTCATTTAATAAGGAGCCCTCTAGTCATTTTTAGTCATAAAATAATTTCATTTGGGAAATAAAATGCATAGTCCTAAATAATAGTTAACATCTGAACTTTTTTTTTTTTTTTTAATCTTTTATTGTGAATTATGTGCTAGTTTACATGGGAGAACATTAGCTTTACATTCATCCTATCGTTCGTTTCACTACCATGGTTACAATCTCCTCCATGCATCATTAAGTAACCAAAGAGTATACC